AAAGTTCAGGGGAGATTTGTGAAATTAGCCCTTTTCTTTTCTTTGTTTTTCATAATCGGACTGCTATTACTGTAATCTTCTATTAAAATGACCCAGTTTATTATATCTTCTAGGAAATGGAAAACATAAGAGAGAGGGTCCTTGTGTTGGAACTAAAGGATTTCGAGCTCCAGAGGTTAGGTCTTGCCACACTTTCTACTGCACTTGTATCAACATTTAAATTGTATGCATGATGTAGACTCAGTTCTTTCAATTGTCAAACATGAAGGTTTTATTCAAATCTTGTCATCAAAGTTGCAAAGTGGACGTGTGGTCTGCCGGTGTTACATTACTATACTTGATTATAGGAAAAATACCATTTGGGGGTGACCCTGAACAGTGAGTTCTTGCCAACTAAAAGTTTCTTTTGAAAATTACTGTTTCTAACAAGTATTTTACCTGCCGTACAATAACAGAAATATAAAGGAAATTGCAAAGTTAAGGGGTAGCGAAGATCTATGGGAAGTTGCTAAGCTACACAATTGTGAATCCTCATTCCCTACGGTATAAACGATTCAGAAATGTTTCAACGTTTAGCATTTTAACAAGGGTTAATAGCGGATAGACGCCCTGCATTATCACTGAATTGGGGATAGACCTTCTGTAGTTCTATTGTTGTATATAGATCCTGTACTTTCGCCCAAGTGTGGATAGACCCCCGAGTGATTTTTTTACTCTTTTACCCTCATATATTCTACTGGTCCAAAAGCAATTTTCTCTCTCTTAGGGGAGAAGAGTCGAACAATTTCAGTCAGGTGGTCTATCTGCAATAGGAGAACTACAGGGGCTCTATCTGCAATTCGGTGATATTAAAGGGGGTCTAATGCTATTAATGCTTTTAATAAATTCCATGAAGTGACATTGTGTTGTTACTGTAGGATTTGCTTGATGTGCGATTCCTGAAAACAACAGAACTAAGAGATTGGTGCGCGATGAACACAAAGAGAACAGATTTCCTTGAGCAAGTTCCTCAATCTCTATTCGATCTCATTGACAGGTGCCTGACTGTAAATCCTAGGCGAAGGATTACAGCAGAGGAAGCTCTCATGCACAGTTTTTTCACCCCGTGCCATGAAAGCCTCAGGAAGCAGAGGTTACTCAGAAGGACTAATGGCTCAGAGCCTGGAAGCTAGTCTCTATAAGAAACCGGAGCAATGTGATGGAAACTACGAAGAGTTACTGTAAAAAAAGGCTAACCAGCTCAGCAACTGAAAACGTATACATGTCTATTTTCTCAGATGTAAAATTCTGTTCTCAGTGCATAGCTCTTGTGAAATTTCCCTTGGGAGAAGATGCAGAAGTGTTGTTTGCATCATTATCTGCCATACTGTATTAATTTATTAAATGGAGGTCATAATCAGAATCTGATAGGTCTTGTCAGAATCTGATATGATATTGGCGATTACTGTAATGAAAAGTTGATTTTTCAAACGAAGATATTAATCAGAATTCTACAGGGATTGTTACAATCTGTTATGATACTGTATATTACTGTAATGAAAAGTTACAGCATTTATAGAAGTTTCTTTGGGTGTATGGCTGAAAATGTCGCCACAAAACTGAAACCTGTAAGATTGAACCTGTAAGATTGAATTAGCTTCGCAAAGTATTTCCGTGATTTCCATTTGTTATATGTGATGTCAAATCATTTGAATGTATATTTATTCTTTTCATACGAACTTGATTTATTTGAGTGTTGCTGAACTAATCATTACAGTTGTCAGTGGACAGTTTGTTCAAGTAGTCATTCTAATGACTAGTTTTGCCAAGTTCCATATTACTCAGTCCAGCTGATCTGCATTAAGGAACAAGCTAGACTGTCTTTAAGAGATGACAGTCAATATCAGAGATGGAGATGCACAAAAATGTCTTTCTTTTTCTCAAATGCCATAGCTCTTCTCTCTCTGTTTCGTAAGAAAGTTCTAGTCTACTCAAACTTCTCAATAAAAATTCTTTATTAACTCTCGGCGTCGTTCTTGATAAACTTAGTTCACTTGTAGTGATTGGCTTGATCTCAAGATCATATGTACAAAGCTAGTCTCTCTAAGAAACCGAAACAATGTGATCAGAACTACAAAGAGTTGCTGTAAAAAATGCTAACCAGCTTGGTGGGGTAACTGTAAAAATATTCATGTCTATTTTCTCTGATGTGAAATTCTGTTCTCAGTGCATATTAATGTGACAGACTGATGCAGACGTAGAAACGGGGAGACCAATCGGATATCATTTCGATGCCGACGAGCCCTGACAATAGTAGTTATTTCACGAGCTTGAATCCACAAGCTCTAGGTTTCTCAAGTTTGAGAACGAAAACAAGGAGAAAAATTATCTTAATTGAATAATTAAAAAGTTAAATTACAATTCACAAAAGGAACTAATATTTATAGCCAACTATTCCTATCCTAACCCTAATAAAAAAGAAAGTCCAAATATAAAAGGAAATAACCAAAGATATGAAACTTTCCTAATCTGTTTCTGAGTCGACACGAGGCGTGTCGAGTAGTGACGCCTTTCGTGTCGACTGGCATGTGTCGACTAACATGTGTCGACTGACATGTGTCGACTAACATCGCCCTTCGTGTCGTCTGGGGTGTGTCGTCTCGTCCTGTCGACTGGGGACTCAGCTGGGGTCTCGACTGAGGTCTCGCCTGGGGTCTCATCCTGTCGACTGGGGTCTCGGCTGGGTTGCTTCGCCTGGGGTCTCGGTCATGTAGATCTCCTGTATCAGTCCCTCCTTCTTCAAAAGAACTTGTCTTTGAGTTCACATCACTTGAATACAACTCGATTGAAGGATGATAGTCAGAAATATCCGCCACGTTGAATGTCTTAGACATAGCCATTCCTTCTGGAAGATCCACAACATATGCATTGTCATTGATCTTTTTGAGAATCTTAAACAGTCCATATCTTTTCGGTTTAAGCTTGATGTATGTTCCAGCCGGCATCCGTTCTTTCCGTAAGTAAACCAACACCATGTCTCCTTCATTGAACACCTTGAGTCGCCTCTTCTTGTCCGCCTGCTCCTTGAACTTTGCATTGGCTTTCTCAAGTTTTGTACGCACTTCTTCTTGAATATTGATAGCATTCTCGGTCATTGAACTTGTTGCCTCACTGAACTTGCTACTTGTCGGCAACTTCAACAAATCTTGGAGATGTCGAGGTGTCTTCCTGTAAACAATGGAAAAAGGAGGCATACCTGTGGAACTATGAACACTCATGTTATAGGCAAATTCAGCTTGAGGTATAGCTTGATCCCACATCTTTGGCTTCTCTCCACATATGCATCGAATCAAGTTTCTTCAGCTTGAGGTATAGCTTGATCCCACATCTTTGGCTTCTCTCCACATATGCATCGAATCAAGTTTCCCAAAGTCTGATTGACCACTTCATCCCACATCTTTGGCTTCTCTCCACATATGCATCGAATCAAGTTTCCCAAAGTCTGATTGACCACTTCTGTTTGTCCATCTGTTTGAGGGTGTGCTGTGCTACAATACTTCAATGAAGTGTCAAATCATCGCCACAAAGTAGTCCAAAAAGTCGCCAAGAACCTAGTATCCCCATCCGAGACAATCAAACTAGGAACACAATGTAGTCGAACCACTTCTTGAAAGAACAGTCGTGCAACATGTGGTGCATCCAACGTCTTGCGACATGGAATGAAGTGAGTCATCTTAGAAAATTGATCCACTACCACAAAGACTGAATCCACGCCTCTTTGTGTTCGGGGAAGTCCCAACATAAATTCCATACTCAAATCTTCCCAGATATCATTGGGCACAGGTAGAGGAGTATACAAACCAGTATTCTGCACTTGTCGCTTTGCAACTTGGCACACTTGACAACTCCTTACAAGTGTCGCCACATCCTTCTTCAAACTCAGCCAATAGTATCTCCCCTCAAGACTTAAAATAGTGTTGTCTCGCCCAAAGTGTCCACCAAGCCCGCCACCATGTATGTCTCGAACTATCTTCTCCCTCAATGACGTACTGGGAATACAAAGCCGGTTTCCTTTAAACAAAAAGTCGTCCATGATAACGAAGTCTCATGTGGGCTGTTTTGTCGAACACTTTTCCCAAATCTCCTGAAAGTCTTCATCATCAATATAAAGCTCTTTTAAATAGTCAAAAGCAACAACTTCACTTCACAAAACGCTCAACAAGGATACCCACCGACTCAAAGCATCGGGTACCTTATTGTCGACTTCTGATTTATGTCGCAAAGTAAAATTAATCTGCTCAAAATACGAAGCCTAACGTCCATGCATTTTGTTGATATGCTTTTGATTCTTGAAGTGTTGAAGAGATTGATGATCAGAGTAAATAACAAAGTCATTAGCAATGAGGTAACTTTCTCAAGTCTTCAAAGAATGATAAACAACATATAATTCTTGCTCATAAGTACTCACTTCTGCCAAGCTTCATTCAACTTCTCGCTCAAGAAAGTAATGTGGCGCTTCTCTTGAGAGAGGACTGCTCTAATACCTACACTACACGTGTCGCACTAAATCTCAAAGAGCTTGTCGAAATCTGAAAAACGTCAATATAGGTGTAGTAGTAATCTTTTCCTTGATAAGGGCAAAAGTTATATTTGCTTCATTGGTCCACTCAAAAACACCCTTCTACTTCAAGCAATCCGTCATGGGAGCAACTATAGAGCTGAAATTGCGAATAAAACGCCAATAAAAAGATGCTAATCCATGAAAGCTTCTTACTTCAGTAGCACTTTTTGGAGTCGGCCAATCCTTGATTGCCTTGACTTTATCTTCGTCGACTTGGATTCCTTGCGATCTCACCACAAATCCCATGAACACAAGTTGAGTCGTCAAGAACACGCACTTCTTAAGGTTGATGTAAAGTTCATTCTCCTTTAGCACTTGGAAGGCCTCTCGGAGATGCAACATATGCTCTTGTTCATCTCGGCTATAGATGAGAATGTCATCAAAGTAGGCGACTACATATCTTCCCAAAAAAGGCTTCAGAATTTGGTTCATCAAACGCATAAAGGTGCTTGGAGCGTTCGACAACCCAAAAGGCATCACTAACCATTCGTAGAGGCCCTCACTGTTTTTGAAAGTAGTCTTCAACTCATCACCTGACCTGATTCGGATCTGATGATACCCACTCCTCAAGTCGATCTTCGAAAAGATGCTTGCACCTCCCAACTAGTCTAGCATGCCATCTAACTGAGAAATTGGAAACCTGTAGCGAATTGTGATCTTGTTAATGGTCCTACTATCCACACACATCCGCCAACTTCCGCCCTTCTTTGGTGTCAATAGTGTTGGAATTGCGCATGGACTCATACTCTCTCGAACGAGGCCCTTATTAATGAGGTCCTCAATGGTATCCTATAGGATCTTTTTCTCCTATGGGTTCATGTGATAGTGAGGGAGATTAGGAAATACCGAACCTGGAATGAAATCGATGTGGTGCTGTATATCCCTCATGGAGGGAGTCCCTCTGGTAGCTCTTCAGGAACCAAATCTTCAAATTTCTTAAGCAGCAACTTCATCTTCTTTGGGATCTTAATGGGTGTCTTCACTTCCTCCTTCACCACTAAGGCAAACCTCTGCTTTAACTCTTTTGACTCGGCCAAAAACTCTCAGTTGTTGCAAAGAGAAATACGTTTGGAATTTTGACCTTTGGGGCTCTTTGGAGAGGGTGGAATAAGTGGTATGATGATCTTTTTATTCATCCACACGAAAGAGTATTCGTTCTTCTTGCCGCCATGCTTGGTGTCAACATCATACAGCCACTGTCATCCCAATAATACATGGAATGCGTCCATATCCACAACATCACAAGCAACATAATTACTATAAGTCTTGCCTAGTGATAGTGGTACGCGACATACATTGGTCACCTTCACGAAGGGACCCTTCTTGATCCATCTGATGGTATAAGGCACATGCTTGGTCTCGATCGGTAATTTTAAGTGATCCACCAAGGCCTTTGACATAATATTCTTGCAGCTTCCATTGTTAATGATGAGGGTGCATACTTTTTTGTTGACCGAACACCTAGAAAAGAAAATTTGGTGTCGTTATGATGAATCTGGTGTCTTCTGAGCGCATAGGAGTCGTTGAACAATATACGGAACGTTGTCGCCCTCAATCTCGGCAACCTCTTCCTCATACTCTTCTTTAGATGCTGTGTGCCCGACCTCGACTTCCTCATCACTGGATTCATCATGGAAGAGGGGTTGGTTAGGATGTCATCTATGATGTGGAGGGGGTTGATATGGAGGAGGTTGATGTGGAGGGGGTTGATGTGGAGGTGGTTGGTTTGGATGTGGTTGATTTGGAGGGGGATGAACTTGAGGGGTTTGAGGATTGTACGGGGGTGGATGTCGGGGTAGCCTAACTCTGGGTCCGCTTAGGTGAAGACTATCGGAAAAGTTATTCTCATTATTAAGGTGAAGGGTAAGTCCTTCAATGGTTTGTTGAAGGTTCTGAAGAGACGCCTCCAACGTGCTAAATCTTCCATCCATAGAATCCATCCTCGCGGAAAGATCCTGTAGAGAAAGCCCATTCTCGCAGTCACCTGCCATTGTCGAGGATGTTGAAACTGAAGCTCTGATACCACTTGACGCAGATGTAGAAATGGGAAGGCCGATCGAATATCGTTCTGATGCCGACGAGCCCTGACAATAGCAGGTATTTTACGAGCTTGAATCCACAAGCTCTAAGTTTCTCAACTTTGAGAATGAAAACAAGGAGAAAAATTCTCTTAATTGAATAATTGAAAAGTTAAATTACAATTCACAAAAGAAACTAATATTTATAGCCAACTAATCCTATCCTAACCCTAATAAAAAAGAAAGTCTGAATTTAAAGAGAAATAACCAAAAATATGAAACTTTCCTAATCTGTTTTCGAGTCGACACGAGGCGTGTCGAGTAGTGACGCCTTTCGTGTCGACTGGCATGTGTCGACTAACATGTGCCGACTGACATGTGTCGACTAGCATGTGTCGACTAACATCGCCCTTCGTGTCGACTGGGGTGTGTCGTCTCGTCCTGTCGACTGGCGTCTCGGCTGGGTTGCTTCGCCTGGGGCCTCGGTCATGTAGATCTTCTATATCACAGACATTATATGTCGTATATTATTAAGAGTTACATGTATATCAGCTTTAATGTAATGGCATTGATATATAGACAAAATTAGCATTGATATATAGATGTTTGGTGGAAAATTTGCAATAAGAAAATGAAAGAATTTTATTTGATTTTTATTCTCTCAATCTCGATTACAATTTGGATTTCCTAATTACAAAAGAGAAGACAATTGATCCGAATTCTCCCATTTGTTTAAGTCTGGGTTCTTCACGGTGGCTATGAGATGCCTCCCTCGAATGCTCGCGTCGAGTTTGCTTCTCGTTGACGATCCGAACGTCTCGCTTCACTGGAACGATATCTTCTTCTCACGATTTGACGCTGTGGAGAACTTACAAAGCAAGTTTTATAACTCTGAATAAGTTAGGAAGAACTTGCAGAGTAAGTTTGAAACTCTTAACGAGTTAGGGAACACTGAGCGAGTTATAACTCTATGGAAGAGTTGATTGATTTAACCAAAAATCGGTTTGTAAGCCAAGTTTGATGAAAGCTCCAAGAACAGCTCTTAGGATCTAAAGATTGCCCAGATCCTTCTTCTGCCAAGAAGTCTTGTGTCGATTTCCAAGAATTCCAGATCGAAGATTCCCAAAAAGAAGCCCAAGATCACTTCTTTTCTGCCAAGCCGATGGACCCAAACTCAGTTGAGTTTACTCCTATTTATAGGGGATTAAGGGTATAACCGCCCTCTTAATTCTCTCCATAACGGGGTTGAATGGGGGTTTAACCGTCCCCTTAATCTGCTCCTAAGTGGGGCAGAAATCCCTCTAAATTTAGGGGGAAAACGGTTCCTAAAACCGTTCAGCTCGTGTTTGAACGAGTCAAACAACGAAAATGGCGTTCTAGGCCCGAAATCTACGTTTTAGACTTGAAACACAGAGTTGAGCCTGTTTTAGACTAAAAACGCAGTGTGCGCATAGCGTTGTAAATCTAAAATGCAGAGTTGCGACACAGAGATGAACTCTGCGTTTTGAGTCCACGAACTCTGCGTTTTTAATTGGAGCGCTGGGCATGACCTCTGCGTTTTGACTCTGAAACGTGGGCATGACCTCTGTGTTTTGATGTTGTAACATATGGATGACCTCTGCATTTTGATGGTGTAACACAAGGATGACCTCTGTGTTTTGATGGTGTAACGCATGGATGACCTCTGTGTTTTGATGTGAAGAGACCATCAATTTGTGGTCTCTTTTGCTAGAGCGTTGCAAATACCATCATCTTGTAATCTTCATCTTGGCTCCTTCAAAATATGAGAGTTGTCAGATTGTAATTCCTGATGTTGATTGTGAAGGCTGTTGATTAGAGCTTTAATTAGTTGTTACGAAGGTCGTCAGATTATAACTTTCATCGATCTACGTAAAAGTCTACAAATTATAGCCTTCTAAAAGTCATCAGATTGTAACTTTCATCATCGGTGTTTGATGGGGGATCAGCTATCTGCAGTGATTTTTAGACAACCTACAATAGACAAAATAGAATCAAGGGAAATATGTGTCGGGGCCCCAAAAACAGAAACTTCATGTGCTGCAGCCCCTCCTAGTTTCTCTCATGTGGTTCAGTCCATTGAAGTATGACATTTTGTGCTGTAGCCCCTTTTTAGCAATTATTACATGTTAGCTAAGCTAAAATCTCTAAAATATCCTTATTCCCTCTCCTCAATCTCTCAGACCCAACACTCATATCATCTCTCTCTCTCTCTCTCTCTCTCTCTCTCTCTCTCTCTCTCTCTCTCCTCTCTCTCATCTCTCTTTAAAATATCCTTATCGCCTCCCATCCTCTCCTCCGCCCGACCTCATCACCGTAGCTCGTCGCTACTCCCCGCCTCGCCCTCGACTACGCTAGAGTTTGCTGCTGTTGCTCTCCGCCTCTCCCTCGAGTTCACCGTCGCCTCCTCTCCGCCCGACCTTCGAGTTCAGCCTTCCCCCCTCCTTGAGTTTAGCCTTAAGTTCAACCTCCAAGACTCTACTTTGAATTTAGCCACCGCGATCTCATCGATTTCCTTCTCTTAAATCCTTCACCTAGATCTGAGCGCTCTCCAAAGGAACTCGTCATCGCAACGGGGATCTAAATCTTTAATCTTTTAGAGGTCAGTCTTGTGAGAAATGGTGAATCTTTTCTTTTCTTGAGAAAAGATTTCTTTTTTAATTGAATCCACGCTCATTTTTGTTAATTCTGGTTCTTGTACGTGTTGGCTATTAACGTATAAAAAAACATGAGAATTTCTGGAGCGATCGAGGATGTGAAAGTGAGCGAGAAGGCGTTAAAACTAGAACTAAAATGCCGCGGGTTAGAACTAACACGCCACGGGTTAGAACTAACACACTCAGCGTTTTGGAGCGATCGAGGATGTGGAAGTGAGCGAGAAGGTGTTAAAACTAGAACTAACACGCTGTGGGTTAGAACTAACACGCCGCGTGTTAGGACTAACACACTCAGCATTTTGGAGTGATCGAGGATGTGGAAGTGAACGAGGAGGCACTCTTGGTTCTTTCGAACCTCGTTGGATCACTGGAGGGGCGAGCACCTCTGCGTAGACACAGGGAGGCTATCCCGATTTTGGTTGATGCGCTCAACTAGCTTGATTCACCTGGATGCCAGGTGATTATATATACTTGAGTGAAAAAAAATGCTAGATATAGCTGATTCATCCTCTACAAGATTATATATTGGTGATTATGGAGGAGGATGGGATTCAGAGCGCCATCGCTCACTGCAAGCGCTCCTTCAGTTCGGGTAACCTTACCGGATTCAGATCAGAATACTCTGTCGCTGTAATTAATTAGAAATTAATTATTTCTTTATGATATTAATGAACACGTTTTGTTTTACTATGTAGAAGTAGAAAAGCTGTTCTTTTTCTTTATCATGAGACCTGTAATTAAATCCATCATTTCGCAATATTCTTAATCTCGATCGATGTAGGGGCCAATCATGAGACCTATAATTAAATCCATCCATCTTTGATTAGTCTCCGAGGCGGTGAGTTAGGACTAACACAAGAGCACAAGGGCTATGAATTAGAACCAGAACTAACACGCAGTGTGTTAGAACTAACACGTCGTGGGTTAGAACTAACACGCGACGAGTTAGGACTAACACAAGAAATACTGTTACTTATATAAAAAAGAACAAGCATAAATTTTGAAATTCACTAGAATTTTAGTGGTATCACTTCCAATCTCGTCGACATTTCTACATGTTTACAACGTCATTAACTTGCTTAGTTTGATTCACAGTTTATCAAAGAAGTTCTATTCTTTTAAAATGCTTGCTGACGGTTGCGCAACAAAAGCTCAAATGGACAATACTCTTCCAATATGTAAGCATTAATTTAAGTTGTGAGCAGGAGCAAACACTGCTCAATGTCATCCAACTGCTAAGATTCACTGGACTTTGATTATTGCTCACTCTTGTTACTTTTCACGGCGGGTTAGTTCTAACTCACCGCGTATTAGTTCTAACTCACCGCGTATTAGTTCTAGTTCTAATTCATGGCTTTTGGACTCTTGTGTTAGTTCTAACTCACCGCGTGTTAGTTCTAACCCACGGCGTGTTAGTTCTAACTCACTGCGTGTTAGTTCTAACCCACAGTGTGTTAGTTCAACCAATATTCTCTCTCTATCTAAAGCAAATACTTAATAGGTATCAAAAACTACAACTGTTTGATTCAATTACAGAGGTTCTTTTACTCCTTAGACAAGGGTATGAGCACAAAAACAAACAAACACAATAATCTCCCTTATCATCAATAGATGATTTTCCCCTCCTCCATAAAAAAACAGTTAACCATTCAAAATGAAGCTGAAGAAGCCTTCAACTCCTCTAACATCTTCTTTAGTGCTGGTTGATTCAATGCCACATTTCCAAATTCAATGCTCGAGTATTTCTTGTACACTGCTCTCAATTTACTCTCAGGTGCAGCTGAGTGAGACTTAAGCAAAATTTGAGAGTAATCCCTGCACAATGCAACAAAATCGTATTAAGAAAAATTTGCAGGACATAATTTGAACTTATACAAGTTATTAAGAAAATTTACAGCAATTGGGGCTCAAAGAAGCCAGTATAGTGCTTGAGGGATTCGGTCCAAAGAGGACCCTTCTTTAATGTGCATCGAGTTGCGGAGATTGCTGAAGCTGCAACCATTGAAGGAGAATATATGATCATAGAGTACTGTATCAGACCCAACTCAACAAAGAAGTAGACCATATGCTCCATCTATAGCAATAAATTGAAAAGCAAACGAGTAATTTTAGCACTTCAAACTAAATTGAAGATTGAAGATGAAGAATATGATAGGCGTTAATTTTTACCTCTTTATCGCACGTTGCATCTTTTATGAAGCGAACAAGGAACACATACGGAGTAGGAACAGTGAGACTCCATTCAAGCTTGTTGAGAATTGATTTCTCCATGACCAGGATCTGTTCTTAGCTGTAAGCTCGGTCTGATATGCATATGAAATCCTCTACCTACATGCCAATAAAATGCACAGTTTATTTATCAGCTAGGTGAAAATGTAACAACAATTTGCAAGGAAAAAGCACAACAAATTGACATTGCATGGTAGAAAAAAAATCAGGTATAGAGTATAAGTGATTAATAATGCCATAGAATCAGAGAACCAGAGGAACAATTTATTAACAGTTATAAAGTACAAGCTATAAAGTAATATAAGTGCAACAAATTTACATATGCATAAAATTATCAGGTATAATTAATGGGGAAAAGTTAGAGATAACTACAATAATCTAAGATTCATATTACAATAGAATCAACCAACCAGAAGAAATACACAGTACAATTTACTGGTAGTCGTGGACTTATTTATGATGTAAAATAGTGATAGCAGTAACTTGTTAGTTCTAACATTGCTCCAAAACGCTGAGCGTGTTAGTCCTAACCCGCGGCATGTTAGTTCTAGTTTTAACGCCTTCTCGCTCACTTCCACATCCTCGATCACTCCAAAATGCTGAGTGTGTTAGTTCTAACCCGCGGCGTGTTAGTTCTAACACGCGGCGTGTTAGTTCTAGTTTTAACGCCTTCTCGCTCACTTTCACATCCTTGATCGCTCTAGAAATTCTTATGTTTTTTATACATTAATAGCCAACGCGTACAAGAACCAGAATTTAACGAAAATGAGCATGGATTCAATTAAAAAAGAAATCTTTTCTCAAGGAAAGAAAAGATTCTCCATTTCTCATAGGACTGACCTCTAAAAGATTGAAGATTTAGATCCCCGTTGTGATGGCGAGTTCCTTTGGAGAGCGCTCAGATCTAGGTGAAGGATTTAAGAGAAGGGAATTGATGAGATCGAGGTGGCCGAATTCAAAGTGGAGTTTTGGAGGCTGAACTCAAGGAGGGGGGAAGGCTGAACTCGAAGGTCGAGCGGAGAGGAGGTGACGGTGAACTCGAGGGTGAAACGGAGAGCGGCAGCGGCGAACTCCGGCGTAGTCGAGGGCGAGGCGAGCGGCGACGGCAAAACAATTAGTTTCCTCATCAACAACGAAAATAATAAAAAAACAAAAATAATAAAATAGCAATCCCCTTCAATCAAGAGAGAGAGAGAGGAGAGAGAGAGAGAGAGAGAGAGAGAGAGAGAGAGAGAGAGGTGATATGAGTGCTGGGTCTGAGGGATTGAGAAGAGGGAATAATGATATTTTAGGGATTTTAGCTTAGCTGACATGTAATAATTGCTAAAAAGGGGCTGCAGCACAAAATGTCACACTTCAAGGGGCTGAACCATATAGGAGAAACTAGGAGGGGTTGCAGCACAAAATGTCACACTTCAAGGGTTGAACCACATGAGAAAAACTAGGAGAGGCTACAACACATGAAGTTTCTGTTTTTGGGGCCCGGACACATTTTTTCCTTAGAATCAATACTGTTTTGACAAACCAGCGTTCGAGTAGAGAAAGCTTTGATCGTATTTATAAAACACAAAACAGAAATGTAATCATGGCGTCAATGGTAGAATTTTTTTTAATATATAATTTACATGCTTCTAGTCTAATATTCAACCCATAATAAGTACATATATATAAGTTTGAGGAGAATCTTGAACAGATAAAACTGTAAAACCTAGAAAGAAACAAAAAATGACAGCTAGATTAATCCAATGACAATTTGAACCATATTTCACTAGATTTTGGCTTTAAAAAGCTCACCTTTACCACGTCAAACCTGGCTCTTTCATCAAATGAATGAGGAGGGTATGATCAGTAATCTTCCTGGAAGCGTATTTTCAAAGGTGAGATGTCTCTTATCATGTTGGTGCTTCTCAAGTTAAATTTGGATCATCTTCCCTATAAAAAAAATAGTGGAGAAGTCGTCACTTTTAATTCTAACCGTTGATTGTCTAGTGGGCGGTTGTGATATAATCTAAATTTAATATTCACCATACCCCTGTGTATTGCACTCATTCCTAATTTACACTCAAAGAAAAATCATAATTACCTACTAGATAATCGACGGTTGTGATTATGCAGTGGTCTCTCCGCTACTTTTTTGCTAGTGGAGAGGATCCGAATCCAACCCTCAAGTCTCCCAAAAAGCAAGAACACATATCGTATCCACTGTTTTTTGGCAGCGGAGAGAATTCAAATCCTGTAAATCTACTGCTTATAATCATGAAAATCCAGGACAAATTTTCAAAACCGACCACTTTGGGATTTTAATTGCAAAAAACGACCCATTTCAATCTTATTTATAAAAACCGACCCAGTTGGTTGAAACTGGGTCGGTTTTTAAAAAAAAAATTCTCAAACTTCACGGGAGTTCAACTCCCGTGAAGTTTTGTTATGAGAAAAACTTCACGGGAGTTCAACTCCCGTGAAGTTTCCCAAAAAAAATTACAAAAACCGACCTGTTTTCAGCCCCTGGCTGAAAACAGGTCGGTTTTTGTAAATATTTTCAAAACCGGTCGTTTTTTGCAATTAAAAACCCAAAAGGGTCGGTTTTGAAAATTTGTCCTGAAAATCCATGAGTGACTTTCTTCTTATGAACTAATACTACCCTTACTTTCCATATCAAATTTATAGATTTGTTGCACTTGAACTTAGTTTAAGAAACAAATGTTAATCACGTACATACATTAGATCATAGCATATGCTTGGAGGTTGTTAGCTAGTGCAAGCTAAGGGATTACTTTTGACTCTCTAGTTAGACAACTATGAGGTTTAGTTACTATTCAATTTGTGATTTATTAAATTTTCAGATGATATATGGGTCAGAATGTTTCGACATGGACTTCCTTAATTAAATCCAAACATATCCATGGACCTCCTCAATTAAATCCAAGCAAATCTAACTTATGCAAAATTTTCAACCTCAACAAAAGTAATGGAACAAGTCCGTCGGATTTGGGGTGGGCGACGGAGGGTGGGCGATAGAGGAGAACTTGAGGTGAATGTTGTACTCCTTGCAAAAGCTGCGGAAGCCTCTGCTGTCGAACTGGGTGTCGTTGTCAGTCACAAAGGACCAGGGCATACCAAAACGGCAGACAATAGACTTCCACACAAAACTTGTGACATTACTCTCACCAATTTTAGCCAGTGGTTCGGCTTCAATCCATTTGGTGAAGTAGTCAATCACCACAATGATGAACTTCCTCTGTCCCGAGGCTAGGGGGAGAGGACCCAACAGATCTAGCCCCCATTAGGCAAATGATACGTGACTTAGAATGGAAGTTAGCTCGGTGGCCGATGCTCGCGGGATGGACGAGTAAAACCGGCATTTTCGGCTAATATGGTGAGCCAGTAGTACCCTTGCCGGATGACTTTCTGCGCGAGGGTTCGGGCCCCAGGATAGTTTTCGCATGTGCCCTCATGAATCTCCCTGAGCACATAATTGGCCTCTGGCGGCTGAAGGCACAGTAGATAGGGTCCTATACCGCCGTTGAAGTGTGACATCTGATAGACCTGTCCATCGATCATGAGATAACGGTGAGAGTTCCTCTTGAGACGTCTGGCTCCAGTAGGATCTTCAGGCAAGGTGCCCTATGTTAGATAGAGAACAATAGGATCTAACCAATAGAGTACGATAGGCGTCTCGGTCTCCATGATAGTCTCTGGTGACTTGGAGGTGTTGGGTTACTCGAGGGTGTCGCTGTAGACAGGCTCCGAGCTAATCCTTGAGCTTGTCGACCCGATCTTGGAAAGGGCATCCGCCCAGGCGTTGAGCGCACGAGGGACTTCAGCTATCTTGAAATCCAAGAAACTGGTTAGGAGCTCCTTAACAACTTTGAGATACAAGACCATCCTTAGATCTTTAGCTGCATATCGCCCATTCACCTGATGGACGACTAACTGTGAGTCGGCTAAAATGTAGAGGCAATCTGCCTTTAGTGCTTGTGTCATTCGAAGGTCAGCAAGAAGAGCTTCATATTCAATTTCATTATTTGAGGCCGAGAAGTCAAAAGAGATGGAGTGTTCACGCGTCAACCCATCAGGGCTGCGCATGACCACTCCTGCTCCACTGTCGGCTTCTCCGGAGGATCCGTCCACTTTTAATAACCACCATGATGTGAACTCTGAGAAATCATGCTCTAGAGCACGACAGATCTGTGGAGCAGATACTGGGATTGCTAGAGGTGCTGGAGGCACTGGCCGAGTGGACGACGAAGGTGCGTCCGGCTCGTTGCCTGGCGAGATTGACTCAATCAGGAAGTCGGCCAAGGCTTAAGCTTTGATTGTCGTCATGGGTTTGAATTGCACATCATGCTCACTGAGTTTGACTGTCTAGGAAACCATCCCCCTAGAAGTTGTGGGGTTGCCCAACGCTTTCTTCAGAGGTAGACTTGTCCACACAATGATGGCATGGGCTTGAAAGTACGAGCGAAGTCTCCTTGCAGTGGTAATAAGGGCGAAGGCAGCCTTCTCTATGAGGGGGTAATTGAGCTCGTTCGCTTTGAGGATTCAACTCACATAGTAGACAAGCTTCTGAATATTTTCTTCTTCCTGAACAAGGATGGAGCTGACGGCCTCAGAGGAGACAGACATGTATATGTACAACGTCTCTCCTCTTATAGGCTAGCTCAGCAGTGGTTTGGTACTCAAGTAGGCCTTGAGATCCTAAAAAGATGCATTGCATTCGACCGTCCATGTCTTGCTCTCCTTCATGTTCTTACCCCCCCTAAGAGTTTTGAAGAATGAGAGGCTCCTCTCGACAGATTTGGAGAGGAAGCGACCCAATGCTGCAATCTTCCCGTCCAGCTTCTAGATGTCCTTTAAGGTGCGCGGCTCGGGCAATCGCTCTATGGCGGCCATCTTCTCGGGGTTGATCTCTATGCATCTCTGCGTGATCATGAACCCCAAGAACTTTCCCGACTACACCCCAAAGGCACACTTAGCAGGATTGAGCTTCATTCGGTAGTGCTGGAGGGTGGAGAAGGTCTCGTCTAGGTCTAAAATGTGGGTCGATGCTTGTTTCG